TTCTGGATTGGCGATGGCACAATCGACATGGCCAGTACTCCCACTCTCTCCCAGATTCGAGCATGGAGCACGAGTTCCAGCCCGGCGATACGCCCACGGCCGGACTCTACACGGTTCCAGATGAACGCACTCCAGGTTATTTCTGTTTTATTCATCGTTCATTGATTTTTACATACTTTTGCATTGCATTGTAACATTGGGATGCAATATTGTAGGCTCAGCTGGAACAAGAAACGAGGCGCCGGGAGGAGCTAGGGCGAGGATGGAGGTAGAGCGGCAGAGGATGGAGGCAGAGCGGGTGCAGATGTTTGAATATATGAGGGGTGTTTACGCTACAATTGGTCAACCTCCGCAACCGATGCCAGTCCCTCCTCCTCAACCTTATAATTACCGTTTCTAGTTTATGCAGAATCAATCTTACAAAGATGCCCCGACAGTAGAAACTAGAAATAAACTAGAAACTAGAAATAAACTAGAAACTAGAAACTAGAAATTAGAAACTAGAAACTAGAAACTAGAATGATTTATAGTTTACAAACTAGAAATAAACTAGAAACTAGAATGATTTATCTCTTCTTCTTTGTGCAGAATCAAACAACGGCATCGAATGAGCCTCATGACCCAGTGTGGTCACAGTGAACACCGTGGCCTCCTCAGTGACTACTTGTGATTTTATTTGCATTTGCATTTGTAGATTACTTGCGACTACTCAGTGATTACTCAGTGGACGCCATTGCACTCAGTGAATTTTATTTGCATTTGTGGTTGTGAATGAACCAACTTATGATTCTGAAGTTTATTTGCATTTATGTGTTGTCGATATATCTATATGAACTGCATGTGATGCTTATTGTGAACTATGTGTGATGCCTGTAATGTTTATTTGAGTGGGGTACATTATACGTGACCGAACCATAAAATCTAGAAATATATGGTCGCTTTGCCGAGTGTCACACTCGGCAAAGAGGCCTTTTACCGAGTGCAAGGTAAAAACACTCGGTAAAGCGGACACGTGGCTAAAATATGTACATTCTGGACCAAGCAAAGTGGCCATATTTGCTGAATGTCTGTGCCTGGACACTCGGCAAACAAGGGCATATTTGTCGAGTGTCAGGGCCGGGGCACTGGGCAAACATGACTGCTTGGCCAAGTGTCAAATCCCGGACACTCGGCAAACGCATCATGACCGTCTCCGTGCCGTCATGTTACTTTTTTTTTTGCCGAGCGTCGGTTTCAGCTCTCGGCAAAATATTTGCCGAGTGCCCGATATAAAACACCCGGCAAAGAGACGTTTGCTGGCACTGTATATACCGTGTGCTGTTTGTCGAGTGTTACACTCGATAAAGCCTTTGCCGAGTGTGTTTTAGGCTGTGGCACACGGCAAAGCTACTGTTTTCCGGTAGTGATGGTCCGTGCTCCAATGGCATGCATCTCAACAGCGCTCATGTCTTTCACTCGCAACACTATTAGGAGTTGCCGACGAGAGGTGGACGACGGGACGGTGTCAGGATGAGCGGGGAAGAGTAACTGGGTGAAAAAGATGAGCTTTTTATCCATCCCGCAACAGGAGAACGGACGGTGGCCGGAACCTTTTAGATCCAACATTCCTTTAGTTCGGCTAGAGGCTAGCAGACTTAAAACAACTCCAGCCAACCTTGCAAATTTTGACCCCCTATTCTCTCAAATGGGAAGCTACGTATCAATGTCTCGTCCCATACTTCCTAGCGTCACTCCGGTCAATCTCCTACTACTTTACACTATATTGCCATGGACCTCTGCTCATCAAGCCCACTTGTCAGCTTTGTGGGAAGAGAGAAAGGAGAAGTAAGAAGAGTAAAAGAGGCTCCTGCATATGGGGTTCAGGAGAGAGGATAAGAGCCCCTCAACATAGCTCGGTTGAAGAGCTTTTTCATGTGTCTGAACTTTCAAAATGGGATGAGGGCTCAAGTAAGATTTTGGTTGGAATTGTTCTTAGATTGACCGGGCAACGAAGAAGAAAAATAAAAGAGTATTACTGTCATTTCATTGTTTTTACCAAGCATGAAAGCTATTTTACCAAATGGATTTTTTAAAATAGCTTTGGCTAGCTCCACTTCAGCTTCACCGGCTGAAACTAGATAAAACTAACTGGTTCACCATTAAAACGGAGTTGTACTAAACTGGACTTTACTCCCGCGTGGAAAGTTTATTGTAAGCATCTTATATATATTTTTTGAAAGCATGCTTAGCACGTGCTTCATTAAGGTAAGTTGGAATTGTTACACAGCCCGTAGGCGTGTGACGGCGAGTTGCGTCTGCATGCCTACCGGTGGGACACTAACAGCAATCACCGGCTTTAACGGTGGAGCTATCCTGTCGTACTAAGTGATTAACTAGTTTTGCGACCAGGAAATGTAATGACGCTCCCTAGTTAGCTACCGCGAGCAGCGAGGCCAGGCTCCGGAACCCGGCGGCGATGCAGGAGTCTTCTTCCTCGCGGATGAGAGCAAGGATCTGCACCGTCGTTTTAGCGTCGTGGTCGAAGGTCCGCTTGTTGCGTTCTTTCCAGATGGCCCAGGAGACGAGCAGGACGAGGGAGTCGAAGCCGCGCCTGAAGGTTTCTGGGATGGCAACCCGAGTCTGCAGCCACCAGTCGGCCACGGCGGAGTCATGGCGCGGCCCCAGCTGCTGCAGCCCCGCGTTCGATAGCAGCCGGACCCAGACCTCGCGCGTGAAAGAGCAAGAAGCCAGTAGATGATCGGTGGTCTCGTCGTGTTGATTACACAGCGCACAGTTGTCCTCCAGCTGAAGGCCATGACGTTTTCGGCGCTCGGCTGTCCACAAGCGACCGTGAAGGGCAATCCAAAAGAAGAATTTCACCTTTGGCGGCACAACAGCCCTCCAAACGAACTTGGCGCCAACCAAAGAGGTCATTCCAGTGAAGAAATGCTCTGTATGCCGAGGAGGCGGTGTAGGTGCCGTTCGCCGTCCACTTCCAGATGAAAAGGTCAGAGGAATGCGGCGATAGCTGGAATGTCTCGACCATGTCCCAAAGGTGGACGTATTCTCAGAGGACTGCGGCAGTCGGAGCGCCAGTGATGTCTCTTGCCCATTGGCGATTTGTGAGTGCCTTCTTGACGGTGCGTTTGCGCTGGCGGCACCCAACCGCCTGGAAAAGGTTTGGCGCAAAGTTGCAGATGGCACTGTCCGGCAGCCAGGAGTCTGTCCAGAAGCGTGCGGAGGCGCCGTCGCCCAGTTGAACGGTGACCGAGGCCCGGAACATGTGGTCGACCTTGCGTTCTGGCCTGGAAGGCAGGCACGCCCATGCGGCGTCAGGTTGTGTCCGACACAACCATTCCCAGCGTAGGCACAGGGCAAAGCCGAGTATCCTAAGGTCCGGCAACCCAAGTCCACCGTGGTCCTTGGCGCAAGCAGACAATGGGCCAAGCGACTTTGCACTTCCCGCCGGCGACTGATCAGTGCCCGCCCAGAGGAAGGCGCGCCTCCTCTTGTCGATCTCCCCAATAGCCTGTTGGAACCGATGATGACCACCGAGTTTATGATCTTGGAGCTGGCTTGCAGCCGTCCCGACTCGTTACGAGCCTGCGCTCCCATAGGTCCTAGGTCCATCGGAGCTGACAACATATAAGGCCTTGGACCTTACTCAACCCAAAAGACTAGGCTTATAGGTACGAGTTCTCCCGCCTTATATGTTGTGCTCTCCCACCATCGCTACACGATGTGGGACTAAACCCCAACAATCTCCCCCTTAGTCACACATCGGGGTAGTCACACATCGGGGTGCCCCCGGCATATGTGATCGAGATTTTTTGAATTGTTGGGGTTTAGTCCCACATCGTGTAGCGATGGTGGGAGAGCACAACATATAAGGCGGGAGAACTCGTACCTATCAAGCCTAGTCTTTTGGGTTGAGTAAGGTCCAAGGCCTTATATGTTGTCAGCTCCGATGGACCTAGGACCTATGGGAGCGCAGGCTCGTAACGAGTCGGGACGGCTGCAAGCCAGCTCCAAGATCGTAAACTCGGTGGTCATCATCGGTTCCAACAATTGGTATCAAAGCCCATGGTCAGAAAAGCTAAACCCGATAAAAAAAATCTCGATCACATATGCCGGGGGCACCCCGATGTGTGACTACCCCGATGTGTGACTAAGGGGGAGATTGTTGGGGTTTAGTCCCACATCGTGTAGCGATGGTGGGAGAGCACAACATATAAGGCGGGAGAACTCGTACCTATCAAGCCTAGTCTTTTGGGTTGAGTAAGGTCCAAGGCCTTATATGTTGTCAGCTCCGATGGACCTAGGACCTATGGGAGCGCAGGCTCGTAACGAGTCGGGACGGCTGCAAGCCAGCTCCAAGATCGTAAACTCGGTGGTCATCATCGGTTCCAACATAGCCCGTGCCGATAGGCTGCAGCAGATGGAGACGTGTACTGGGATCGCGGAGAGAGTTGTCTGCGTCAGCGTGGCTCTACCCACGCTCGTCAGAAGGCCAGCCTTCCAAGTCGGGATTCGGGCGGCGACCGCGTCGACCAGCACCTGTTCGTCGGCGCGGCTCAGTCTGGACAGCGACAAAGGAGCTCCCAGGTATTTGGTTGGGAAGTCCTGGAGCCTGCAAGGGAACACCTCCTGGACGGCCTGGATCACGTCTGAAGAACATCGGATTGGGGTGATTGTGCACTTATCCAGGTTGGTGGATAGGCCAGACGCCCGGCGAACAGCTCTAGGATCTGTCGGATGCAGCTGAAGTCTTGCGGTGTGGGCGCGAGGAAGATGACGAGGTCGTCAGCGTACACCGAGGCACGGTACTTGATCGCGTTCCCTGGCAACGGTGTAAGGACCGCGTGACGGTCAGCCTCGGTGATGAGCGCGTTCAGTACTTCCATGACAGTAAGCATCTTATATAGGAGCTTATAGATAGTAGTGCATCTGATCTTCTTTATAAGCAGGCACCAAACCCCATAAGTGAAACGAATTACATATCAACATCAAACACAACACATATGGCGGCTGCCAATGCCGGTTTAGGCCTGCTCTTGGAGACGACGGCGGCTCAGCAGCGGAAGCAGCACCAGCTGCGCCCACCAGCAGCAGCTCAAATCACAAGCAAAGCCACCACCCTCCTCGCCACCAACACCGCGAAGAGCGACGTCGTCAAGGGCACCTCCGCTTCCTTTAGCCGCTCCTCCTCTCCCCGTACACCACCGCCGACGACGTCGGCGAGCTGCTCGTTCCTGCAGCGGTGCTTCTTCTGCCACAGGGATCTCGCCGAGGGCAGGGACATATACATCTACAGGTCCGTCGGTCTGAGCGCGTGTCGTACAATACAAGGCGCACATACGTTTGGCCGGAGCCCGGAGGCTTGGCTTGTGACGACTGAGTACTGACAATGGCGTATGGTTTGGTCTCGTCGTGCTTGCAGATGCGAAAGGGCGTTCTGCAGCGAGGAGTGCCGCTGCCGGCATATCCTGGCAGAGGATGACGACGACGACGACTGCGCCTCGGTCGGGGTCGTGGTTGGCGGTTTCACGTTCTGAGGTGGTGCCCGGCCTGCCGGGCAGATACAGGATGACCACCGAGGGGACTGGTGGGACAGCTGCCACCGGCGGCCTGCAGGCGGGCAGGAATTGAAGAAGAAAAGATGTCCATCGCCATCAGTCAAATACCTTGTCCAACTTACCAACCTACCAACGTGTCTTACGTTGAGATGAGTGTCACGGCTGATATAATCAGATTGGGGTTAGTTCAATTTCAGCGTTTCAAAATGATGAGTGGTTAAGATAATATACTTAACTTTAATTTGTTTTTGTTGGAGGTGAATATTTTTTTTGGAAATTACGTTCATGGAAATTGCCTTTTTTTTTCTTCTTTTTTTTCACTTTGTGTCTTCTTCTTTTTGTTTTTGATGAAAGGAGATTATCTTAGCTTTTAAGAAATTAAATCTAGTAAGGAGTGTTAATTACTAGCTTGGGATACCACATACCAGCTAACAAAAGGAGTTTATAACTCCGACCATCATCAAACAAAATGATACGCCTACTACAGAAAGAAGATAGCAGAACTCTACTGCTTCATCACCTCCTTGCTCATCTATTAGTCAATCAAGCAATGAACTAGCTTCTTTATCTCACTACTGTAAAACAGACAATCACTACCATGATATCACTATCGATTTTTGTTTACAACCAACAGTGATGTATCATTGCCGATTGTAAGCATAGATCGCTATCAAGAGCATCTCCAGCAGTGCTATCCAAAATAGGCCCCCCTAATTGGCTGCTTGGATAGTCACCTATTTTTGTACTACACATTTTTTGCTTTCAACTCCAGTAACACTACTTAAACCATGGCTCTCATATTCCATTCTACCCGTCAATGACATGTGGGACCCACATGTCATCCTCCTCCTTTCCTTGTCGTCATCGATGGACTCGGCCATCGAAAGGGCCGCCAATAGAGGAGGGGTTGTGCCGCGCGCTCGAGAGAGGAAGAGGGTCGGCGGGGAAGAGCATTGTCGATGCGGGAAGGGGTGCGACGGTGGAGGCTATTGACCCTTGAGTTTGGTGAGGTCTAACACCGGGAGGTCCGTCGTCAGGGAAGTCCACCTGCGCAAGGAAGGTCCGTCGTCTTGGGAAGAAAAGTCGGAGCTTGCGCAACTTGCGTCGCCGCTGCTTGCGCAAGCCCGAGCATCCGGCAAGGTTGTGGCGCCGTTGGCTGTCCAGATCCAGCGTCGACGAGGACCGTTGGTGACCAAAGAGGTAGCGGCGGGGCGAATGACGGTCGGCGACATGATCCGTGGAGGCGTCGGGCGTAGCTACCTATTGGCCAGGAATGGATAGTGAAAAGGGGCTAGTAGGAGACTAAAAAAACTTAGAAGCTTGTTGGAACATTTTTTTTCTCTCTATATACTGTCCAAATTAGGGATAGAAGACCTGTTATGTGTCGGTCAAAACTTGGCCCATGTAAGCCAAAAGCCCACACCAAACTGTTTCAAAAAAAAAAAAAAAAGCCTACACCAAACCATCATCCATCAGCTTTTCCGTGCCTCTGGCCTCTGCTATGTGCCGCCAGCTTCTGCTCCGCGCCGCGCCCGTGGCCACATGCCCGCGAAGAGCCGCGACGGCGAAGAGGGCCGACTTCCGGCCGATTTCCTTGGAGCGGAACCCGAGCCCACGCTGGCGAGGAGCGCCACAGGCCAGCGCACCCGAGCCCGTAGGCCTGAGAGGAAGACGCCCGTGGCCCTGACGAATCCCCCGGCTCCCCTGCTCCGTGGCTCCGACTCGCCGCCGGCCCCGAGGTCAGTGGACTTGAGATTTTCCTTTGCTTTTGAGATTTGAACTGACGATTAGCTAGCTTGCTGTGTTGATTTTGCTTTGCTATGTGAAAACTGTGCAGCTGGCTAGGATTGTAGTGTTGGGTTTCTGAAACTACATGGAGAAGAGAATGCAGCTTAATGGACATGGAAAATTAATTAAGCTACCTTTTTTTTTTGGGGGGGCGCGGGGGGGAGAGTGTACTCATGTTGAGAACTCCATGAACTGGAGTGGCTGCTGGCTTCTAAGTAGCATGGGCTGCAGGTGTTTTTGGTCGAACAATACCTCATGATAAGTATTCAGTACTACACAGATTTAAACAATTTTATTTATATATATTTCAGTCTAAAATCCATGTATGACTTGTAGCACTAGAGAAAGTAGGGGCATATAGAGATAGTGATTTTTTCACATCTTACACCAGCTTGTTATTTTTTTCTAGTAGAATAATGACATGACATGGTTTGTTGCTTGGAGTGGTATTCAGCATTTTAGTCTTTTCAGTGGCCTGCAATTTCTATTTTTATGTTTTTGATGATGGTGTTTATGTTTAATCCTCTTTGTTTGGTGTATGTAATATGGGTTGAGAAAGGTGTTGACTGGTCCATGCCCCATAGACCCACACTGTACAGGGTCTGCTGCTACCTTTCAGTATGAGGGTAGAGAGTGAGGAGAGTGTACGGGTTCGCATTGCTTCAGGTTTGCACAACGCTGTTTACATGGCCCATTCCCAATAAAACGGTTTACTGCTCTGTGTTGTCAGTCGTTATAACTAGAGGTCCAAGCACTAGTACCACTATACGGATTGAGACTGTCCACTGCTTTACCATTTTTTTCAAAGAAAAAGGAGCCCATACCCCACACCTATAGTGAAACAAATTGGAAGTAAAGTCAGATAGATAGTAGGCTATAACCAAGGAAAAGAAAACAGTCTACAAATATCAACGTTGGAGAATAGTATTTTTTTTTATGGCCCCCATGTGCATACTAACTTTCATTACATGTTTTGCAAATAGGGTTTTAATGCTAGGATATAGTAGCAATCATATGAATGATTTTGTTATTTATTGGAATTGACATTGTAGTTCAGAGGCTGTTGTTTAGTGAAAATGGCATGGTGTTATTCAGTTATGTGAAATTTTGTTCTGTTCTTCAGATTTCTAAATTTCAGAGAAGGTTGGTCATCTTGCTTTTTTTTGCATAATATGTGCTATGAAATGTAAAATGGGAGGCCACGAACACATGATTGAAACACATGTTATATAGATGCCTAGAATATTCATTTTATTTCATCATCACACTTTGGAGTTATTGCTTGAAAAATATAGAAGGGCATCTTGCTTTGCAGTATCTAACTAAAACTTTAGTTATATATTATATGGGGATGAAGTGTGTTATATTTTAGCACTGTGGGCTAGCATAAAACCACTAGTTTCATTGTATCAGTCATTAATGTTTCGCATTGATAGGGCTAGGAATCTGGCTGTTTTATTGATGAACTGGAGGAGGATTACAATGGCTAAACCTAGAAATGGTAGCAGCGATAGAGCTAGTTCACCCTCCCTGGGAGGCTCTGAACAAGATGACTCTATTTCTGCTTGCCTTTCCTAATCAGCCGGCCCTTAGTTATAATCCCTAATGGCCGGCTGAGCACCACAAACTGCTAACCAATCTCCTATTTTTACGCTATAGATCCTAACTTATAGGAACAGCCTCCTAACAGATAACTATGGCCGATATTTAGCCACTAGAGGCTGCTGGCGCCTTCTTCTTCTTCCTGCTATACTGCAATGAAAGCGTCCACAGCACACATTGAGTTCAAGTTTGTTCTAAAAGGGCTCGAATTTTTTTAGGTCATCACACAATTGGGCTATGATGCTTAGGGAGTTTGGGGTAACATTAAAACATGTGGTGATTCTGAACTAAACATGCGGTGGTAGAAGCAGTCATGCGTACTGTTATTTACACTTGGTATTGTTTCCCAGTACCACACTTAGTACTATAGCCAGGGTTGACACTTAGTACGGATCCCAAGTACTGCACCAGTTTTATTTATACTAGGAAAAGTACTAATACTTATTTGCCCCTGGCTACGCATTTATTTGATCAACTGCCTTGTACAAATCTTTTTCCATACGCGAAGTGCAACTGCTACAGAGGTACTATGTGAATTACAGTAACATAGATACACTTCCCAATGAGCACAATGTTGAAAATTCTTCTTTGATGGCCAACATTTCAGCATAAACCTCCTCTGTTCTTGGCCGATCCTTGGGTGACATCTCAGAACATTTTAGACCAAGGCTTGCGAGTTACATGGCACAGTGCTGCATTTCAACCATTTCCTGTCCTCCATCTGCACCTTCATGATATCCAGTGAGATTTGGTTCTAAAATGTTATGGATATTCAGTGGAAGTGATGACTCCACAAAGTTGCAGATGTTTACACCATCCTTAAACATGTCATCAGTTGGTCGCCTTCCTGTAATAATCTCCAGCAGAATAATTCCATAGCTGTAGATGTCACCCTCAACTGAGATTTTGCACCCCACGCCATACTCTGCAATGTTGTGCAAAACTTAATATTAAAGTCCTCCACTTAGCTATTTCAGAAAATTGGTAAAAATATAGATACTATGCCAAAGCATCATTTACAGGACAAATATCGTGTATACATAAGTACAATTCATTCTGATTAAAAAAAAACAAGAGTCAAACATGTGCTCACCTGGTGCAATGTAACCGATAGATCCTCTTGGTCCTACAGCACTCGATGAATTATTGAATCCTGTTGAAAAGTCAACAGAAAGAAACTTTGCAAGACCGAAATCACTGAGAGATGCAACCATTTCATCATTCAAAAGGACATTGCTTGGTTTCAGATCACGCTGTACCAAAGGAGGAGTGCATCGATTATGAAGATAGTCCAATGCAGCAGCAATATCTACAGCTATTGCTATTCGTGTTCCTAAACTCAATGGTCTTTTCGTGTTTTTTGTGTACTCTTTCTGATGGAGCCTGCTTTCTAGGTTACCATTTACCATGTACTCAAGAATGAGTGCTTTGAATTCATTTCCAGTTGGATCAAACGTTGAACAGACACTAATCACTCTTATAAGATTCCGATGGCGAATGTTTCTCAATGCCTCACATTCAGAAAGGAAGTTACTTGGTGCTCCAAATTGGTCGAGCCTGAATACCTTTATGGCAACTGCACATTCTTCAACCTTGAATTGACCTTTGTACACCAATCCAAATCTTCCGGATCCAACAAGACTGTTAGGAGAGAAACCATCTGTTGCTTTGAATAAATCACCATACGAGAAATTCTTTAGCTCTTTTAATGACTGGTTGGTTAGTTGCTTTCCTTTCATTCTCTTCTTCAAAATAATGACAGCAACACACGCCATTGTGACTGCAGCTACACTAGCAAGTGAAACCAGAACAGCTAAAATGTAGGCATGCTTGTTTCTTTGGGGTCTTGATGTCAAGCACTGTGGTACTTGTAGATCTGGAGACGTTGCACACAACTTATTGTTTCCTTGGATGTACACTTCATTCGGTTTAGCAAAGATGCCGCCTCCAGGGACAGGGTCCTCAAGGTTATTGAAGGATAGATTTAGACTCTGTAAAGCGCTAAGTGACTCCAAAAATTCAGGAATTCTACCAGACAGGTTATTCTGTGAAAGATCCATCACAGTGATGCCTTTTAAGTTGATGAAAGAATCTGGGATGCTTCGTTGCAGATTATTTGCTTCTAAGTGGAGTGACTCCAGAAGAAGGCACTGACCAAGTGTGGAGGGGATCTCACCTGATAATCGATTGTTGGAAAGACTAAGTGAATTCAGATTGATCAATGCACCAATCTCAAACAGTATGTCTCCAGTGAGTTTGTTATTGGACAAGTCTAAGCCAACAGAAAGTGTAGATATCGAAAAACAGTTCCCGTGGAATGCCTCCATACAAGCTATTGGAAGAAAGATTGAGTGTTGTCAGTTGTTTGCAGCCCTCTAAACTAGAAGGTATGGGTCCGGTCAAATTATTTTCCTCGAAAAGAAGTTGAGTAAGCCTCTCTAACTTCCCAATTGATGTTGGGATTTCTTCAGAAAGTTGGTTTTGGATATGGTCAGAATGGACAAGTTTTGGAGGTTCCCAACCGTGTCTGGAATTTTCCTGAAAGAAAATTATTATCTAACTGAATTACCGTGAGGTTCGTGAACTTTCCTATCTCTGATGGTATAGAACCTGTGAATTGGTTTTCTTTTAGAACCATGATCTCTAAGCTTTTTGGGATATTGGTGATATAAGTAGATATTATACCTTGGAGGTTGTTTCTATCTAACCATAAATTCTTTAACTGTGTGCAGTTGACTAGAGAGGACATGAAAGACCAATCTCCAGCTTCAAGCTTATTTGCACCTAGATCTAGGTAACTCAACAAGGTCAGGGATCCCAGTGAAGGAATAACACCTGTGAATGCGTTGCTACAGAGATCTAGATATTGCAAATTTGTGGCATTGGCCAGTGAAGCTGGAATTGGACCTTCAAACCTGCTCCTTCCAATATCAACTGTGTGATGCTTGTAAGGGTGTTGCCGATACTGGTGGGAAGTGTACCGCAAGTTGGTTGGCCCCAATTCCAAGAAAAGTGAGAGAGAGATGTTATAAAGTCCAGGTGCAACGGTGCCTGACAAGTTGTTATAGCTGAGGTCTGGTGCTTGCAGAGTTTTAAGCTTACCTAAGCTCTCTGGAATCCTTCCTCGTAAACTGTTATGAGAAAGCAGTAACAAAGCAAGGGAAGAAAGATTACCAAGTGAGCTAGGAATTCTCCAGAGAGATTATTTTCGTGTAAGCTAAGGTAATTCAGAGCCGAGGAAGATTCCTGTGAGAAAGGTGGGACAGACCCGGAAAGAGCATTGTGTGACAGATCTATGTAATGAAGAGACGTGCAGTTGAACAGAGCAGGGGGTATCCCACCAGTAAGGCTGTTATTCTGAATATTCACCCATGTCAGGTTTTTGCTCTGCCCAAGAAATTCAGGAATTCTTCTGCTATGATGCCTAGCTCTCCCTGGGATGGAACGAAGGTTGTATGTGTGTGTGATTGCTGGACGAGGCTTGAGGACGCCTTGAGGAAGGCAAAGGCGGCGGGCGCTGGCATGGCTGCTTATGTCACGCGAGTTAGGGCGGGGTTACGGTGAAACTCCCGGCTCCCTTGGGAAGCCGAGAAAACAATATGTTTTCTGCTTAAATTCTCAAAAGAGTCTTACAAGAATATTTATATCTCTTTTCTCTACTAAAAATAGAAATAACTCCCTAACAATACCAATATTTCTAATAATAGTATATAATGATAATTTGGGCCTGGAGCCCAACTCAGCGTACGCACGTAGCCTTGCGTCCTCCTGCTAGCCACCTGAGCTCCTTCGTCGCGTGTAAGAGATGCCGGTCATAACATCTCTCCCGGCCTGCGAAAACAGCTCGTCCTCGAGCTGGAAGTCGGGGTAGGCAATCTTGAACTCGTCGAGGCGCTCCCAGGTGGCATCGTCAATAGCCATGCCACGCCACTTGATCAAAACCTGCCAAACTCCGCGACGCTGCAACGCTTGCAAGGCGCGGTCCGGGGCTGGCAGGACGCGGCCATCCTGCGTCGAAGGAAGAACACCGGACGACGCTGGAGGATCGCCGCGATGCGGCTTCAGCAGGCTGACGTGGAAGACATCATGCAAGCGCGCGCCGGCGGGTAGCTGAAGACGATAAGCGACGCGACCGATGCGTTCCAACACGCGGAACGGACCAGCCCATCGTGGCCCGAGTTTGTACTTGGCACGGGGGTCCAGAGACTGCGCCGTGCGGTGAAGAAGGCGCAGCCAGACCCACGCACCGACGTCGAACTCCACCTCCCTGTGGTTGGCGTCGTAATACTTCTTCGCAAGCTGCTGGGCTTGAATAAGGCGTTGGCGAACCTCAGCCAGCATCTCGTCACGACTGCGAAGAAGAGCATCCGCAGCCTCGGTACGTGCAGTCCCCGGCCGATAAGGCAGGATGGCAGGCGGGGGGCGCCCGTACACCACCTCAAAGGGCGTCGCGCGGAGGGCAGTATGGAAGGAAGTATTATAGCAATACTCCGCCCACGAGAGCCAATCCACCCAAGCGCGAGGCCGATCACCTGTAACACAGCGCAAATACATTGCGATTACCTTGTTCACCACCTCCGACTGCCCATCCGTCTGGGGATGAAACGCCGTGCTCATACGCAGAGTCACGCCCGCCATCTTGAATAAGTCACGCCACACATGGCCGGTGAACACGGGGTCCCGATCGCTCACGATGGAGGTCGGAAACCCGTGAAGCCGGACGATGCCGTCGAAGAAGGCGCGGGCGACAGACGCCACGGTGTAGGGGTGGCCGAGCGTGATGAAGTGTGCGTACTTCGAGAAGCGGTCGACGACGGTGAGAATAACCGACTTGCCGCCGACCTTAGGCAGCCCTTCAATGAAATCCATGGAGATATCCGCCCATACCTGGGACGGTACCTCCAGCGGCTGAAGCAAACCGGCGGGCTGCAGGACTGCAGTCTTGTTGCGTTGGCAAGTAGTGCAAGCACGCACCCAATCTTGGACCATCGCCCGATCACCTGGAATATAAAAGTCCAAGCGGAGGCGGTGCAGTGTCTTCTGGACCCCTTCATGGCCGGCACCATGGGCGAGTTGAACGGTCTGGTGCCGGAGATCACCAGAGTCAGGCACAAATATACGTGTGCCATGCAGCAAGAGGCCACAGTCCACGTGCCAGGGAGGGCCTAGCTCACTGGCTTGCAGGCGCTCCAGCAGCAGTACAGCGTCCGGTGCAGCGGCTGTAGCACGGCGCACGTCGTCGAGGTAAGCGAAGGATGGCCCGGAGAGGGCCGTAGCTGCTGGTAGGTTGCCGTCATCCCCGGGGGCGGTCTCGGCATCACGGCGGGACAACGCGTCCGCGACCGTGTTGAGGCGGCCCGGGCGATATTCCACGGCGAAGTCGAAGCCGAACAGCTTGCTGACCCACTGATGTTGCGGCACGGTCGACAGGCGCTGGTCCAGCAAGTACTTGATACTGAAGTGGTCCGTGCGTACGAGGAAGTGGCGCCCCCACAAGTAAGGCCGCCAATGCCGCACAGCCTGCACCAGCCCAATAAGCTCGCGCTCATAAGCAGCAAGCTTGAGGTGGCGAGCGGCGAACGGATGGCTGAAGAAGGCGAGGGGCCCGGCGCCCTGATGTAGGATGGCGCCAAACCCCGCACCCTAGGCGTCACTGTCCACCGTGAAGAGCCTGTCGAAGTCGGGCATTTGCAGGACTGGCCCCGTAGTGAGGGCGCCCTTGAGCGCCTGGAAGGCCGCGGCGGCCTCATCGTCCCAGGCAAACGTGTCTCGCCGCAAGAGACGCGTTAGGGGCGCCGCGATGATCCCGAAGTCCTGGATGAATTTCCGGTAGTAGCCGGCGAGACCCAAGAAGCCCCGCAGCGCCCGAGCAGACCGCGGCACGGGCCAAGAGGCAACCGCCGCGATCTTGTTGGCGTCCATGGTGACGCCTGCTGCAGAGATGACATGGCCCAGGTAGGCCACGGAGGAGGCCCCAAACGAACACTTGGAACGTTTGAGGTGCAGGCGGTGGGCGCGAAGAGCGTTGAGGACGACGATGATGTGCTGCAGGTGTTCCGCCCAGGAGGAACTATAGATCAGGATATCATCGAAAAACATCAGCACGAACCTGCGGAGATATGGGCGGAGGACGTCGTTCATCAGCGCCTGGAACGTGGCCGGGGCATTGGAGAGGCCAAAAGGCATCACCAAAAACTCGTAGTGCCCCTGGTGCGTGCGGAAGGCCGTCTTGCTGATGTCGTCTGGGTGCATCCGCACCTGGTGGTAGCCGGAACGTAAGTCCAGCTTGGTGAAGTAGTGGGCGCCGTGGAGCTCGTCGAGGAGCTCCTCCACCACCGGGATGGGGAACTTGTCCTTGGAGGTCTTCGCGTTGAGGGCGCGATAGTCGATGCAGAACCTCCAGGAGTTGTCCGCCTTGCGAACAAGGAGAACCGGGGCGGAGAACGGAGATGTGCTGGGACGAATGATCCCCTGGTCCAGCATAGCGGCGCATTGCCGCTCCAACTCGTCCTTCTGGAGCTGCGGGTAGCGGTAGGGGCGGACGGCAACTGGAGCGGTGCCCGGAAGGAGGTGAATCCGGTGGTCGTAGCGGCGCGCCGGCGGCAGGCCGCGCGGCTCGTCGAAGACCGAGCCGAATCGAGCAATAGCCGATCCAAGAGGGCTGGTCGGAAGAGGTGCGAGACTGCCGGACCTTGGGCTCCCTCGGTGTCGTCGCGCAGGGGAGCCTAGGCCCTTCCACGAGGATGTGGCGTCCGGCTCGCGTGAAGGACACGGAGAGGTTCTCGCAGTCCCACAGAACCGGGCCGAGGGTCTTCAGGAATTCGAACCCCAGGATGAGGTCGAACTCGCCAAGACTGAGGCCGAAGCAGCTGATGGAAAACTCCTCGGTGCCGATGGTCAGGGCGACGTCACTTGCTAGGCCGTGGCAAGGCACGCGGTCGCCGTTGGCCATGAGCACTCGCAGCGAGGGATGCGGAACGGAGGGCAGCTGCAGACGACTGAAGAGGTCGGCGTTGAGGAAGTTAGTCGTCGAGCCGGAGTCGAGGAGAGCCACCAGACGGTGGCCGCGCACTGTCGCGGGCAGCAGCATGGCGTTCTTGGGCCGAACGCCCATGCGCCGCGTCTGAGGACACGGTGGGGTGTGCCCTGCGGACGACAGCGTCGTCGCGCATGGGCTCGAAGACGAGGGCAACGGCGGGCTCCTCTCGTAATACGGCCGCCACGGCGACCTCGGCCGAATCTCGGCGTCGGCGTAGTCGCCGTTCTCAAAGTAGAACAAGCGCCGACAAACATGTCCGCGGGACGTGCGGGTCGTCGCGGCTTGAAGCAGAGGCCTGGCGACGCCGTTCTGTTGCTTTCGGCCGGTGACGGTGGGCGGAACGCGGCTGCCCTGGCTGTGTAGGCGCGGCCGGCTGCTGGACCTGCTGACCGGCCCCCGCAGATGGAGCTGCCCTCGGTCTGGGCGGTGTATGGAGCCCAGGGCGCGCTGGAGGACGAAGGCCGCGTTGCTGCTGCGGTTGTTGCGCAGGCAGGAAGGCAGCCGCGCGACGCTCGTAAGCCCGCGCGTAGTACATGGCGGACTGCAAGTCTTGCGGATGGTGCAGCTCCACATCCACCTTGATGTGCTCCGGAAGGCCGCCGACGTAGAGTTGTGCCTTCTGACGAGCATTGATGTCGCGCTCATGGCAGAGGACGGCGTTGTAACGCTCCGAATAATCTTGGACAGTGGAGGTGAAGGGCAGCCGAGCCAGCTCCGCCAAACGAGTACCCTGCGTGGGCGGACCGAAACGCAGCTGGCACAGCGCGCGGAAGCGCTCCCAGGCGGGCATGCCTTCATCTTGCTCGAGCGCGTAATACCATGTTTGGGCAGCGCCACGAAGATGGTACGATGCCAACCATGTGCGAGCTGAAGCCAAGGTGTGCTGCCCGCGGAAAAATTGCTCGCACTGGTTAAGCCAATTGAGGGGATCCACGCTGCCGTCGTAGGTAGCAAACTCGAGCTTGTAGAATTTCGGCGGGTCGAGAACGCCGCTGAACACTGCTTCCGCATGGGGCAGGGCGCCCGGGGGGCTGCCGCCTCCGAGGACCGCCGACGCGGTCGCGGCAGGAGCGCCACCGTAGAGGAGCGTCCCGTCCGTGCCGCCGTAGAACGTCCCCGAGGTGGGAACCGAGGGAGCGATGGAGGCGGTCGCTGCGGACGGTGTAGGCGAGGTGGCCGTTGTGTTGATGGGCGCGGCCACCGACCCTACCGGTGCCCAGGTCGGGATGGGGGACGGTGAGGACGGCCACTGAAGAAGATGGAGGGGTACCCCCGTCCCGCTCTGCGGCATGCCGTAGGGGAAACGCGCCTGCTGCGACGCAGACGGTATAGCCGGCGGTGGTGGTGGAGGAGGAGGCGCCGGTTGCGATGGGGGCGGCGGCGGAAGGAGACCCGCCAAGGCCGACTGCATGGCGGCCATGTTGCGGCTGAGCAGGTCCATGTTGCGGCCGATCTGATCAACCACCCCGGCCAAGGACTCCAAGGTCATAGGTCCGCCGGAGGACGTGGAGGCGTCCGAGATCTCGGAGGACGCCGCGGGCAGCGGCGCGGAGGGCAGCGGCGCTGAGGGCACCGGTGGCGAAGTAGCGGTGCTCGGCGGGGCAGTGGTCATCGTGCCTGAGTCCGATACCAAGCTGCTATGATGCCTAGCTCTCCCTGGGATGGAACGAAGGTTGTATGTGTGTGTGATTGCTGGACGAGGCTTGAGGATCGCGAGGAAGACGCGCAAAAGGCGGCGCCGTGGCTGCTTATGTCTGACGCGAAGTTAGAGCGGGTTACGGTGAAACTCCGGCTCCTTGGGAAGCCGAGAAAACAATATGTTTTCTGCTTAAATTCTCAAAAGAGTCGTACAAGAATATTTATATCTCTTTTCTCTACTAAAAATAGAAATAACTCCCTAACAATACAAATATTTCTAATAATAGTATATAACGATAATTTGGGCCTGGAGCCCAACTCAGCGTCACGCACGTAGCCTTGCGTCCTCCTGCTAGCCACCTGAGCTCCTTCGTCGCGTGTAAGAGATGCCGGTCATAACAGCTTCCTGTGAGATTATTGCTGGGGAGAAACAGCGTGTAGAGACTGGGAAGCAGGCCAAGCTGTGGAGGATGCTTCCCTGAAGATTGTTGTAGCCAAGAATAACAGTATGAAGGGATGAGCAATGAGCAAGACTTGGAGGGATCTCACCTTGGAGGGAATTGCTATCAAGGTCGATCGTGTCTGTAGAGTCACTCAGTTTTTGCGTGAGCTAGGATAACCGGTCACCGTGGCGGCCACGACCCGAGTCGCGCTCCGTGTGCACCTTGATGTAATCTGTATAAATATCACCCGATGAGGCAATACAACAGTTGTTGGCTCCTATTCCTATTCTCTACATGGTATCAGCCGCGCGGGTTCCTTCCTGAAACCGCTTCCTCCGCTCGCCTCGATCGTCCTATTCCTATTCTCTACAGTGTCGAGGTGGGAACATGCGGATATTGCCTCAGGTATCTCACCCCGAGGGAGTTCATGCTGAGGTTGAGGTACCGAAGCTGGGTTAATCGGCCGATGTCAGTAGAAATCAGACCATCAAGCTGGTTGTTGGGCATGTGGATCCTTTCAAGGAAGCTGAGGTTGGCAACGCAAGGGAATATGCTGCCAGCGATGTTCTCGGATTCAAGGTCTAGTGCAATGACTCGAGATGCCTGCTGTGTGCTGCCGCATGTCACCCCATGCCACTTGCAGAACACAGGGGAGTCGTCTCTCCATGAGGCCAATGCACCTGATGGGTCGCGGAGCTGAGATTTGAGACAGAGGAGAGCACTGGATTCATTCAGTGCTGCGGGTGATGTGTATTGACATAGGGCAAGGAAGTGGATGGAGATGAAAGCAAGCAGCGGCAGGATGGAAATGCTGTGGATGGCTATGTGAGAGTGAGACATTGTTTCTATGCATATATGGATGGATGCATGTGTAGATCATCCTGCTGCCTTGGGCTAACCGTATATGATGAGGTTATATAGAGCTTCATGCCTATTGCACTGTATGAATCTGACTTCACAAGCCTGTCACCCTCTGCTTCTTCAGCAAAAGGACCATTCAACATCTTGCCGCAAAGAATCAATAAAGGAGCTTTTATATTGCGCTCTGATGTACAAAATAAAGGAGCTTGCAAACAATTTGGACAGCTCAGTCAACACGTTTCCTGAAAATATGATATCTGAATTATTTGACCAAAGCAGAGTGGCCCAGATTTTCTATACGCCTGATGTAAACAAAGTAAAGGAGTTTGCTGACAATTTGGACAGCTTATTTAACACATTCCTAAAAGTATGACATAATTTCTTTGACCAAAGTAGTGCTAATAGGCACTATATCACTGCAATCTCATGTACTAGTCATGTATTTTTTTCCACTAATAATGTTTGTTGGGGAGTAAAATGCCATAGCAAACAAGTGAGCTCCAACACCAGAGAGCTCTTGAAGTCGATGGAGAGGAGAGAAAATAACAAAATGAGTGAGAATAATGAGACCCCACATTTGCCCAAACAGCCAAACTCTGTATTTGCATGTGATGATGTATAGTATCATGCATTTGGCCAATCAACAAGACTACAAGAGCAAGTGATGATGTCTAGTATCATGCACCTTTTCATTTTAGAAATAAGCATCCGGTTTGCCTGGCATAGATTAATAGAGGAGGATTCGAAACAAAGAAAATGAGATATTTCAAGCAGACAAAAAAAAAAGTCTCGGTCAACTACACAAGCTCGAGAACAGGACTCATGCATTATGACCAAAGCACTTACCACCACGGAATGATTCCTGGCCATTCAGTTAGACTAAACAGAACTAATCGGTTCTTTAGTTCATCTTAAATTTCAGTTACCCAAAAAATTCAGTTCATCTTAAACTGGGTGGCCATCAGCATGAAAATCAAGTATTCAATGCATGTGTAACTTTCTACTCCCTCCAACCTAGAAACAATTGAACTCACCTTTTAGAATTAAGTATATTTGTGATATCGAATAAATATTATTAGATTACTAATACAATAGAATTTATAGTAAATCTATTTAGAGATATAAATGTTGCTACTATTTTCTATAAATGTAATAAATTTTAAATTCTTTTTCCTTGTTTCAAACTAGAATTGTATTTTTTTTTGACGGAACGAGTAAAGATACAACGTGTCACCCTCTGTTATTGCAGCAATGGAAGCCAGTCAACATCGTCACGAAGACTCACTGGTCAATAGTCTCTGACGTGAACGGCCAGTCGGCCACTGATTTCATAATGTGATGGACGGCTGGTCTCTGTATTGGTTATGCCACTTAATGACCTAGACTTTCTCTGCGCCATGATGGACCAAAGATGCTTGCAGAGAATTTGAATGTATCGCTTACGATATGCTGATGTATGTAAAAATTTGACTCAGTTCGCTCTGAATAGGCTAGTACGGATGTGTTTATTAAAATACAAGCCTACCATCCTCTTATATTTTAATAAAACAGCATGTCTGTCAACGCCTGCCCTTGTAAGGGCTATAATCTTAAGAGACATAAGTGTTAGAAATTCGTGAATGAACTTTTGTACTTACAACTGACTAAATTGCTTATCTTTGCATGTGCACGATTTCACTGTTCATTTGCAAACACTGTACGGCTCATATTTAGGGCCTGTTTGATCACCAACTAAACTTTAGCTGGCTAAATTTAGCTGCTAGGGATTCAGCTAAAAGACCAGCTAAAGTTTAGATAATTATAAACTAGTACAAAAATCATTTTTAGCGACACCACCCTTTTCTATCAGAGGCGGTTCAACTAGCACGCCGCCTCTAACCGTGCCGGTGAGCACTGTAGCTCCGTGACTGCCTCTAAAGATCCATCTTCAGGGGTGGTTCTATTTGGAAAACCACCTCTGAAATATGTCCATTTTCAGGGGCGGTTGGTTTAAGAGAACCGCCCCTAAAAATGGATCTTCAGAGGCGGTCCTCTTACAAATCCGTCTCTAAAAGTAACCTCTTTTCAAAGACGGTTCCTTAAGAGAACCGCCCCTACAGATGAATTAACAGAGGTGGTTGTCGACAGAATATTGTCGACAGTCCTCCGAGGGGTATCCCACGAAGGTAGATTGATCGGCAGAGAGGCGTGTAATCAAGAACAAAAAGGCAACAGAGACACACGAGTTAGACATGTTTAAGCCGTCAGTATGACGTAATACCCTACTCCTGTGGTCTATTGAATTGTATTGGCTATCGTATGATATTGCGTGAGTTTGAAGGGGGTCCCTGCCCGCCTTATATAGTCTGGGGGGTAGGGTTACAAGTCGGTTAGATCTGAGAGATAACCGGAAAGTAATAACAGATTACAGGAATCATGGGATCATACGTATCCTAACAGATCTCGTAGTATCTTCAGGATATCTTCCCGGTGTCTTGTGGGAGGCACCGAGTAGAGTCGTGCCCCGCAAGGCTTCGTCTTGTGGGCTGGGCCGCCCCTAGGGGAGCAGCCCATGTGGTCTGCCGTGGGTATCTAGGGTCATACCCCCCACAACGGTTCTCTTTAGACAACTGCCCCCAAAAATGCCTTCTTCCTCCTCGGGGCAGTATGCATGCTGAGCACCATTAGCTCACTTGGAGGGCGAGGAATAGCAAAATTAGAGGGGGAGGTTTTGCCCTTTGAACCTTCGAAGGAGTTGGGTTTGAGAGGTGAGATAGTGACATCCCTAAACTTTTTTTCAAACTTTAAGTTATATTAATAAATACTATAAACATGACAAAAGTTATTTTTTAAAAATAAGCTTATACATTTTGTTTAAAACAATACGTCATATTAATATTGCTAATTTAATTTTAAATGTTCTATATTTTAGAAAAGAATAATACTACACATATATTTACGTGATATAACAAACTCAATGGGTATTTTGTTATACTTCTTATCAAGTATTCTGTCAATGGTGACGTGAGCGTACCCCTGTGGAATTGGGTGGCCATTAATTGTCCCGTCTCTCGCAGGCCAGGCCTGGCCGAGCGCCACCTTGTCCTTTGTCCATTCCTAACGGATGTACAACTTGACATTGACGGGTTCAATGATGCCGTCCACCGGATGAGGCACATTCGCCTCTTCTTCATCGAGCGGGGTCGATCCGTAGCTGCTGTGACCCCTAAACTGTGGGCTAAAGGCAGTAGGAGTAGGGTTTTGTGGTACTCCTGACCCCTTGGACAACAAAATTTGCTCGACTCACGCTTTAACAATCGCCTCAATCCATGCTTCCATTCTGTCTTCCATCCCTTTTAGTTGCCTCAAATACTCTGCCTCATGTTCCGCTCTACCCCTCGAGCGGCTCCGGTAAGTGTTAGATTCTTGGGGGAATGCTAGTTTCCAAGGAACAACACCGGTTTCTCTAGTGCGACCAGGGTGCTCCTTGGTTCCGAGTGCTTGGGTGAGCACGTCTTTCTCGCTATTAGAAGTGCAAGTCCCTTGCCTCACATTCTCAGTTACTTGGGAGATCCTCTGGATGAGTTCGCTCATGGGTTGATTTTTGGAGCTAAAGCTCCCGTCCTCGGCGTGCCGTACATTCCTCCCCATACAGTATAATACCGATCTGGCCTCCCAATCGACGGTCTCAACCTGAACACCTTCCTCAGCAAGGCGATCCATCTTTTGAAGTTCCGCTTCAAATTCTGGCATCTTTTTGACGTAGCCATGAGAGCTGAGATGATGAGGATTCGTCGCTTTCTGCGAGTTCTCCTTATTCTTCCTGATCAGTGCTAAGTCCTCCTCGGATAACCTATATTTCTTGAAATCCTGCCAGAAGTCCTTCTGCTTGCTAAACTGTCCACCATCAAAATCTGACTCTTTATTTTGGAGGACAAAATTCTTGTAGAATGTCCCCTTGAAATTCTTGAAGCATGTCCCCATGATTTGTTTTGCTTTTTTCTTGACTAACTCCCTGTCATACTCGGTTGGGAAAGTGAAATATTCTGGGATCTTGACATCTCATATGTAATCCTTCTCACTTTCGAGAATCCTCCATGGGTCATCATCTTTCCCAATCCACTTCCTGTACCTAATCGGGATGAAGTCCCTAACAAGTAACCCGAGGATAGTCTTGTATTTGGTCAAAGCTATAGGCGGTGAGAGCGGATCCCTAAATTCATCGAACTCAGTAATGTGCCAGTGTGCATTCCTACCAACAGGAATCTTTGACACGCCTCGCTTGGATCTGGCCTTCCTACTACCCGAACCCTCTGGCTCCTCGGCCGGCAGAGGCTCCTGCTAGAGACACCAAGTAAGCTATGACCCTCTCAATTGATTAGCGTGTGTGGCTACATAGTCACATGATACCAAAGTTACCTGGCCATCTTGGTCATTTTGACCCAAATCGAGCAGGCCGTACGGGGTCCATGGCTGCTCGTTCTCACCATCCTGACTGACACCATCACTGTTTGTCGGATCATTCGGCTCTCCCGTCCCAGTGATATCAGCCGCTTCTTGTTGCCGATCTGTTCTTCGATGACGGGGTAACAGACGACGATGAGTCATGGCTGTGACACGATCGTAGTTAGTTTTGGCTACGGACAACTACTAATAGCATATGTTCATATATATATATTAATATGTTTAATTCAAAGTCTAATAATAAGTCCACATACAACAAAGTCAAATAATAGTATATGTTCACCTAGAACAAATTCATTATTTGATTGACCACATACAACAAAGTCCACCTACTGTTCTACGAAACTAAGCCTACATCAACTTCTAAATAAGAAAAGCAATGACCATAGCCACAAATATAAGCATGACATCTTTCCAAGACCAAGGAGCAATTCTCCTAATCTTCACATCTCTGGCGGGTGGCTTCTCTTCAATCTCCAGTGCCAGCTGATGGCCATGGTTTGCATTCATTGGACCATAGTAGGCTGGTTGCCCATGGTTTGCAAGGTATGCCAGATGACTATAGTAGGCCCTCAAAGATTCAGCTTCTGTGTTGTATTTTTTGTGCAAATTACCTGGGTAGTGATTGACTTGAGCATAGCAATCTTCCCAGGTTCGATAAATCCCAGGCACGTGACCAACATGCACTACATACCATGCC